AAGTATGAAAGTATGTAATAGATATGTCTGTCCTATGGCAGAAATTCCTTTCTACATCCATGTCTTACAGTATTTCTTTTTTTCTCTGCTGTCCTTTATGTCACTGACCTTTTTTCCCCCAACAATTTCATGCAGAATATTTAAAGAAAACAAAATATCAGTTCTGTTAAACATGATGTCACAATGCTTCTGAGTTGGCTTCTGATATGATTTACAGGCAAGAAATACTGAACTGAGATATTTCAGACAAAATGGAGATTCTTCACAGTGGTAATTCCTGTTATGTGGTAGAATATGAAGGAATAACTTTCAGTTTTGAATATGTAAATTCTCTGGGACAAGGTCTGTAGCATGAGGAGAGTTATCTGGAAGTGCAGACATGCTTCCGAGCACACAGACATTTTTCTCATGTTGCATTCTCCAGTATTTGTTCTCTTCCAAAGCAGTTAGGTTAATTTCATTAAAATTGCTTCTCATTTGTGATGCTATACATGAGATTACAATGAAGTCTTCTGGAGTTGCTTTAGAAAATTAGGATAGAGGCAAGTATACTTTATGTATAAACAAGCTAGTCTCCTTTTCACCCTAAAATCTAAAGAAAGCAATTTGTAGCATTCAGAACTTCCAGATAGGGCTGAATTCCTTTATTTCCTGTTTTACTTTCCAGATATACTGATTCTGTGATGTATTAATTCATAGCTCTAGAGAACTTATCAATGTAATTTTCAAGGCTGGAAGTTTCTTAGTCCGTTCTGTCTTTATGTTGCTGTCTTCTAGTGGGAGGATTTAGGTTTGCAAAGGGCCAGGCTTGGTTTTTTAGTTAGATCCTATAATAGGATTCAGATCTTCCTTTCACATTCTTTCTATTAGGGCAGACATTCCCACTGGGAATGCTTACAGTAGATTTTTCTTTTGTTCACCATTTAAAAAGTGGTGCTTTCTGGGAAGACCTTGTACTTAGCCTGAAACCTGCTCCTCTGCCTTTCTCCTGGTTGTGTTGGTGGATGGATTAAATGGTTTTTTTTGCATGTACATTTCAAATTCCCCTGGCGGATGACACTTCAGTAGTGTAAGACCACTTTGGTGTTAGATAGGTAGACTATATTACCTATGTTTTCTTTGAGATATACGTTCAATGGCACACCTTCATTAAATCAAGAAGGTGAGTTTTGATACACAGAACTTGATTCCAGCATGTGAAGTGCCTGAGTAACTGAATGGCAGCCTTGCTTTTTAGAAAGTCTTGCCTATTTCTTATCAACATGATAGTTCCTTTCTCTTCCATGTGTGCTTCCTCCTACTAATGAATGTTATGCAGCCACCAAAACAGACCTTTTTTTTTTCTTTTTTGGTAAATATTCAGATAAAGGACTGCTCCAAGGAGCAGTGACTACATTGCTTGGCAGGCAGTCTTCATTTTATGTGAGCTTTCTGCTACTAAGCATCATAGCTCCCTGATACGATCAAACACTTGGCAGTGGAAAACTGCCATGAATAACATTGCAGCTTTGTAGCCTTTGTCACCAATCAGCTCTCAAAAGCTCTTGGAATTAGGTGAGGAAAATATTGCTTGAATATTTCTGATTTTTTGTACTCCTTTGATTGTGTGTCTGAAGAGAGCATCTATGTAAATAGCCTTCTTCAGATTCAGATTTTCAGTCTCATATTGGAATCTCTTGTGTGATAAACAGCAAGGCTACTGCTCAGTATGCGCCAACACCTGGGAATAATAATGAAAAAATAACAGTGAGAAACTGCAGAGCATCTGTTCTTGACATTAACTTTCCTCAGTTTGACAGACTGCCACCACCAGATGTTAGTCTTATGTGCCTTTTTTTCCACTGGAGATGGCGGCCTTCCTGCCTCTCTTTGCCTCTAATAGCTTACATCAGTGCCCTTTGGAGAATTCATGAAAACAATTGTGTCACCACAATGATCTCTAAGAACCACCACTTTGCAGTGCTGTTATGATTATCAAAAAAAGATGGGATAATTTTAAAACATGGAAATCTAGAGCAATGTTTAAGCTTATTGTTTTTTTTTTTCTTGTGGCTAATGTCGTACTTGTGCAATGAAATGTATCTCAGAGACAGTAAGTGTCCACTTATTTCTGAGCCAAAGGTTTAGTGTTTTAATTCACAGAGAAACAGCCCCATTTAGTGCAAGCGCCCACCCCTATTTGGCCCTGTCCTGAGTGAATGTTTCTAGTGGAAAACATGAGCATTTATTAGCAGGTCTAAATAAAACAGAACCGAGCACAAATATTTGTAACAAAGAACTTAATAGGATGCACTGTCAGATCCATGCTTTCGTTAGCTCCCCCTCACTGTTTATAATAGTCAAAAGCAGAAAACACATCTGTCAATTTAGCCTAAAAACATTTAAAACATTGGCTAGTTTAGTATGACCACAGAAAACACTTAGGAATTCTTTTCCTCTGGTTTTGTGATAACTCTGTTTTATGGAAGAATGATGTTGCATGTGTAGTAGGAGGTTTTACACAGCTTTACAGAACACCATGTAAACTATCAAACAGGCTATTCATCAGCATGTTCTGGGTTTATAATGGGATGTGGTTTAGCTTTTCCTAAGTGCTAGGCTCCATTTACCTGCCAGTCACTGACCCCAGTTCTCTTCTGGTTTGAAGTAAGGTATGTTAAGAACTCCTAAATGATGCGGGGGTACACGCTGACCCAGTTTCATTGACAGAGCACCATTACACAGCCAGTGCCAGAGTGGGGCTCTGTGCCATCCAAACGTGTGCCTCCACTTGGCATCAGGCAGCAGGAGCTGCAGAGCACAGGATCAGTGTCTCCCCACGCACAGCATCCAAAGTTGTGGTTTTGTGTGATGTGTGCTATTAGATACTGCAAGTAACAGCTGCTGCTGGGGGTCAGTTGATATTTGACTTTCCTGTGTGCATTCAAGTCTGCTCTGCAAAGCTTTCTGCCTGTGCTTTAACTTTGCAACTCCATTGTCATAGAGAGAAGAATATATATCATTGCTTGAGTGCATTTTTCTATGCCACAGGAACTCTGCTTTACCATCAAAACTCTACTGGTCATTATTAAGTTTTTACTTCTTAGGAATGCTTTCAGTATTTATGTTTTGCTTTGTTTTTGGTGTTGTGGGGTTTTTTTGTGGTTGTTTGTCTGTGGTTTTAAAAAAATGTCTGTTTTTTGTTTTGTTTGTTTGTTCTGGTTTTTATTTGGTTCATTGGGTTTGTTTGTTTGCTTTTTTACTTACCTCTAACCTGAATATTTCATTCTCAATGAAAATAGTCCCCTTTAGATGAAGAATACTTTGGAGAAGACTGTGGTTATAGGTCCTTCCCCTCTCCTGCTTAATTCTTATGTAATTGAGATCAGATTCCACGCTGGTCATACAAAGATCATGCAAAATATTTTTACAAAGTTATTGAGAATAATTTAGCATACATAAGGCTTTCACACATGATTAAAAGCCTTGGCGCTTAGTTTGCTTCTATGAATAATGCTAAAACCCCCAGAATTGTTACAAAGGCCAATGGTAACAATTGTTACAATTTTTAAAAAGTTCTTCCTAATTTGTCATTTCATGTTCTCATTACAAAGTGTCCATCTGATGAAGTGAGCTGATATATGATACATGTGTAATACCTTTTAGTCTATCCTGTTATTTGTATCCTCATTTTGCTTTACAAGAAGGAAAATTAACTTTGATCTGTGTTAATATACATTTGAGCAAAACCAAGATGATGTACAGTGAGTCATTATGTCTTTTCTGCTGAGTCTTCCTATGAGGTCCAAAATTAAAAACAGTGTAGTGATGATGACATCTGATCCTCTATTCCAACACAGCTAAAAAGCAGCTATTAAAAAAAAAACCAAACAAACAAAAAAAAAAAAACCAAAAAAGAAGAAAAAGAAAACAAAAACAAAAAACAAACAAACAAACAAACAAAAAAAAAAAAAAAAAAACAACCAAACAAAAAAACCCAAAAAAAAGACCCCAAAAACATTAGGTTGAAGAGTGATTTCTTTGCATGGTATCTGTGATCAAATGGGCCAAATGAACATGAGTTCCAGGTGGTTTAGCTAGTCAACTGGGCACACTCATATCCTTATCTAGCTGTCTTTATGGGACAAGGGACCTTAGAGCCAGAGTGAAATACTGACAACCCTCAACCAAATCTTCATACAAAAATCTGCTCCTGAGTAGACTGGAAGTCAAACGGGAGAGACAATTTCTTCAGTTCATATGTTGATATTGTCTTGTGTTCAGAGTGATTGTCTGGCAAGACGCATTCTTCAAAATATGCATTTTGGAAACCCTGAGAAATTAGATGGTTTGGCTCAATTCTTATAAAAGTCCTCTCTATTATTCCAAGTAGAAAGATCTAAATGTTATCTGGAAGGAATTAGGTGGGTCATCCTAATGTATTTTAACTGATTGGATGACAAGAGATTATATTTGCTGCCATATGGATATTAGAATTGTTCCAACTACTGATTTCTCTATGATATACATGAAAGAATAGCATTTGTATCTTTGTACCTGTCTTTATAATTTTTTTTCTGTAAATAGAAAATTATGTTCCCAGTTCACAAAATTGATTTCCATCTACAAATTAGTCTCTGTCATTGCCAAGAAAAAGTAAACTTAATCCTTGTTTTAAAAATTTATTATTACTTCATACTAACAGTCTATGACAAAAGGGAATAGTCTAGTAGAAACTTGGCAAGTTGCCTTGTTTAGCATGTATGATAGATATTTTTGTACTTAATTTTTCATGGGTAGCATTTGGGCTAATATCAAAAAATTTGAACTCCTGAGACTGAAATTACCTGTGATACACCAAATCCCTACATAAAGAAATGCAGTCTTGGCAAACTGGACTTTCTATTACTTTTTAAAAAAAATTATTTATGTATTTTATTTTATTATATATTATTTTATTTTATTTTTTATTTTTTAAACTTTCACAGCACCATTATAGTAAGTTTGTCTGTTGTTTTCAGGTTGATCCCCTGTTTACAGTGCCTGCACCTCCACCTCCGATTTCCAGCAGTATCACACCTCAGATTCTGCCTTCCTACTTTTCCCCATCTTCATCCAATATTGCAGCACCAGTCGAGCAGCTTTTGGTACGGACACGTTCAGTGGGTGTAAATACTTGCGAGGTTGGAGTAGTAACAGAACCCGAATGCCTTGGACCCTGTGAGCCTGGGACCAGCGTGAACTTGGAAGGAATTGTGTGGCATGAAACTGAAGAAGGTAAATTGTTTTTTCGATTAGGTTTGTCTCTGAGCTATGTCAGCAAGGGGGTATATGCTGTATCTGCCAGGGTGCTAGCTAAGGCTTGCTAATCTGTTGGGACACCATGATATGCTATGACAGTCACAGCTTTACAATTCAGCTAGTGAGCTTTTATTTTAAAAACAAATGGCAGGTCTTTTTATTATTTAAAGCAGCTGTGTTTTCCAAATGACCTACCATGTAATACCAGCTAATTGTTTCCTCTTGCTATATTAAGAAAAACATATGAAGAGGTTGCTAATAAAATAGCATAAATGTCTTGTTTAAATGTACATCATGAGGAGGTGTTTTTGTGATGGGAGTGGATGTATGAATAGTTTAGATGAAAACATAACTGAATATTTCAGCTGGTAAGAAATGCCACGATTACGTAACAATAGAGGCCCCAGAGACCCTGCAAAAATTCAGTTTTATATGATTATATATATTTTGCTTTTTGGTTATCTAAAATATACTTTAAGAGGAAAGCTTTCAGCCTTGAAGAAAAGCATTCCATGTGGTGAAGAAGTGATATCAAAACCAGATTGATTTCTTTAATATCCTTTGAAGACATTTGTCCAAGTAGGAGTGCTAGAGAGCTTTGGGGAGCACTAAACGTTGATTTGCTATGATTTGCTGTGATTTAGAACAAAGTAGGAAGAGCATTATGCTGTGATATGCAGATTTTTCCATTTTGGATTTTGAAAGCTCATTATTAAAATACCAGCTTTTTCCTGCTAAAAATACTGCATGTGTACACTAAACTTCTGCAATTTTTCATTTAATAATAGCAGATGTTTTCATTTATAGCTGTGTGAAAATCTTTCTTTTGAGGATTATTTAATTTTTAGTGATCTACCTCCCTCAACAGTGAAAACATGATTATTTACAAAATGATATAATGACAGTATACGGCGATGCAGCACTTCATGATAAATCCTGACATGGTTCAGACCGTATGCACAATGGCATTTCATCCTTTGCAGTGATATATAAGACCTCACCAAAGTGCTCTACGCTGTCCTCTCAAAAATCAATAGAGAGAGTCAGATTTACTTGCTTTTATATGCTTTCATCCATCCATCTTTCTCCCTGTGTATGTCTACAGCAGATTCATAAGGTAGATTGATCCTTTTAGATTGTTTTTAAAGCACGGTATAAATTCTGGTTTAAAATATCCCTGCAGAGATGACTGCCCTTAGCAACTCCAATCTTTCTTGACTGGCCTGTATTAACCAGAGTTGGAATGTGTGGGTGTTAACTGTGTTGACATGAAAGAGCAGTAGCTGTTAATAGTGTTATTCTTGCTGAATAAACTAAACTTCTGACCCCCACTGAATTTAAGAGGCCTTCCTTGCGAAAGGTTTGGCACCAGAAATGAAGTATTAAAAAAAGTGCATTCTGGTCAGGGTGACATTCCATTTACCAGTATCTCAGCACTCTAATGGTTTAAAAACTCTTGTTAGTTAATGGAAATGAACTCCCTTAGCCTTTTCCTAGTTTTGTCTAAAACAATTTTCTGAAACAACTCAATTGGCATGTTTGAGTGAAGCTGTTATGAGTGTACCTGTTTTCATAGCTTTACAAACACTCTTTGTGAACACTAGAGCTATGAGTGACTACAAATATAGATAAAATGGGATTCTAAAATACTCTAGAAATATAGCTAGAGTGTAGATTAAGAACTGAAGATAGGTGATATGATATCATATTGTGTGGTTTGTATTATACTCTGAGTGTTTCAGACCCTGCTGACTGAAGAAAATAATACAAATTTGACTGGTTTATCCCAGAGTCCACAATCAACACTGTATTAAGAAAAATGAGTTCCTAATGATGATTTTTGCATTTTAATTAAATTTTGATGTTTGGAGCACACATATAAGTATATATGTACATGTTTTAAAACTTTATGACATGTTCATGAAAGCAGCTATATAAAAGCTTGCATGGGGCCATTTCTGCCAAATTCTAGGAAACAGCATACAGATGGGTCTTCTTTTTACCTTTAACAGAAAAAAAAATTAAATATCGGATACTCACTTTCTCAAGTTCCGATTTTGACTTTAGGGCAGAACACAACATTTCCTGAACTGGTGTTAATCCACCTTACTTTAACCAAAGTCTTTGTAACTAGGAACATCTAAAACCGTCTGGACATTCATGATGACATACAATTTTTTTTGTGATTTTCATGTGTTTCTTTAGTTTTCACTCCCTTTACTGCTTTCCAAAAGTAAATAAAAACACCCATGCAAACAGACATTTCTCTGGCTGTCTATATATATGTCCCGTAGCTTCTTAACGTAAAACAATTTGAAGAAACTAAGGAAGGTATGAACATTTCTAATCCTGGCTTGTGTTTTGAGATATTTACATTATTTTGTATCTAGTTTAGCCACTCTGTAAAATGAGTTGTGATGTGATAAGGATAGGCCTGTAGGCTGGCTGCATACTCATAGGAGCCAAATATATTGCTGAGCAGCCTTTGTGTGCTGCAGCAACCAGTTGTGGGAATGCAAATACAGAAAGAATGTGGTGAATCACAACAGTTATTACAACAAGAATAGTAGCCTGAATGGAGAAAGATAAAATCAAATAGTTTATGCAGAACTCATTATTAGCATAAATGTAAAACATACATCATAAAAGAGAAGGTGTATACTGAGAATTCCTGTTATGAAGCTCTCTGAAGTAACCAGTTTTCTTTTATGGATGTTGAGCAAGTTGTCACATTTTGTTGCATTTGTTCTTTGAGGTTAGAAAAAGGATGATGTTCAGGCTTGAGTCATATTTTTAAGATAATCTCTTCAAGGATGGGGGCAAGGGAGGAAAGCAACACTGGATTTCAGACAAAATTCTGAAAGATCAAAAAGAGCATTGTTACAGCTCTTTTCATTACTTCCACACCACTTTATTTAGTTGACTTGATTTAATAAATCAGACAAACCATTTTTCCCAGAGAGTTTTAATCTTTAGAGGTGTAGAGGGCAGCTGGCATCTGAAGTCTGTGATATTTAATTACAGGGGATGATAACCAACCATAGGTGGTTACTCTTAAATTGACTGAGTTATCACATGGTTTTCACATGGGCGTTTCTCAGTTGCTCCACTAGGCTGTGTAGTGTTTAATTGCTAGTATGTATGCCATAGGCATTGTCATCTGCATAACAGCCTTGTTCGGATATAACTTGGAAGTGTGTCCAAGTGGTGGTAATGGCTGTGAAACAGAGCGCTGAAGGAACTGTCTGAGGCTATCCTGTGGGAGAGGAAAGAGAAATTATTATGTGGATAAGTCAACCTGAAACTGGCAGCTGATGTGGATATTTGACACCAGAAGCTATCTGCAGTAAAAGTCCTTCACAGAGAGCAGCTTGGTAATGTTAACTCCCCTGTGTGTTTTGGTTTGGTTTGTTATTCTGATGTTCTGGGAAACAGCTGCTAAAAGTCTCTATGGCTATACTGAGAAAAAAGTTTATCTTGAATCAGGTACTTGCTAAATTGTGTGATTATCTTCTGGGAAAACAATTTCTAAGTGAGCAATAATTGCTTCTTACTGCCTGGAGGAAATAAAAATGACCCAGAAAAAAAGAGAAACCACCAACCAACTTTCTGAATTGCTTAGAGCTCCCGTTTTTGTTCAGCTTCTCACACGCAGTTGCCCTGGGTCACGTCCTGGTTTTGGTTCTGCATCTAGTAGTAGAGTCTGCCTTTAGGTGGGAACCAGTAGTTCTGATGATGTCTTCTTTTCCTGAAAACTGCGTAGGAGACAGCCCTGGCTGCCTTTGTGTGCAGAACAAGCTGTCTACATGTGGTGACATTCTTCCTCTTTGTGCAGAACAGGTGCAACCTGCTGTTGTACAGTAAAAATAATGGGGAAATGAGTTGTGTTTTTTTAATCAGTGATAGCTTGTTGGTCTTTATAACCTGAGACTGGTTGCCAAATAGAAGAAACGAGAATCTCAGAAATCTGATGGGATCATTTCTAGGGTGTTCCAAATTTGTCATAGCATCAGTTCTGACACTATTTTGCAAAATTTTTAGAGAAATTTAGTAGAAAGGAGAAGGCTTAGATGACAAAGAGGCATGCTGGTATCTGTCGTGTATACAGTTTTCCAGCCTGCCACTTTTGCAACTAATATGCATAGTTTGTTTTGAAAATGTTATCTATTGCACAAGAGCTGATGTGGATTCCTCTCTGCCTTACTATGTGGTCTTAGTTTTGCAAAGCCTACTTTAAAACAACAGTCTGTTTTAAATATCTTTGTTTAGATACGTGTTTGTACATGTGTGTAAGTAAGGGTGTGTATGTGTCAACAGAAATAAAATTAGAAGAATGAGTAGTCTGGCTGTCTGTTATTCCTGTTAGCAGTTTTTGTGGTTTAACAACTTACTTTCAGAAATACAGAGGCATGATCAAACAATGAAACTTGTAATGGTGAAAGCCATGTCAAATATGTAAGGAAACAAATGTAGCAATTGGAGATTTTTATCAAAGAACATTACAACACTTCATAGAAATTTAGAGAAACGTGTTAAATCACACTTTTGTCTTGAACTCAAGCAAGGCTTATTGGGAGAGGCCATATCCTTTATTAAACCACGTGGTACAGTTGTAAAGAACAGGTTCGCTTTTATACTGGGTGCATTTACATTTCTGTGTGATGTAGACCATTGACTTGCTGGGTACAGGTGTTGGGTATTGTTAACCACCATATTTTATTCAGAATTGTCTATTTATATGACAGAAGCATAAAGAGAACTACTGCTCAAAAATCAGGCTTTGTTATGTCTGCACTACAGAGAAGTGGTCTGTGGAGATAAAGTAGGGTTTTGGGCTAGCTACATTAACAGAACACCTAAAATCCACTTATTTTCTCCTGCTGCATGGGCCGTCTGCTGACCCAGTATGAACATCACCCACTATCAAAATGCCATCTGCCAAGAAAAAGCCTTTACATGTATTTATATTTTTACAT